TGTACATATACATTTATATATATATATATATATATATATATATATATATATATATATATTCTGTTTTAAAAATTGTGGAAAAATATACAGGGGTTAATAATTCTGACGGTGTTGGCAGTAGTGTCGCTACAAGTGATGCTACTAGCTTAACTACATTTCTCAGTAGCTTAGCAGTAGCATCGCTACTTTCTAAATCAAATAACTTTTCTGTGGTAAAGCTATTATTTTAAGCAAGTAGCGCAGTAGCGTCCACACAAGCTACATTTATCAATCGCGGATTAATAAGTGACAGCACCGGCATTCACAGAGCTGTGAGGCCGGTGTCTAGCCGATGAAAGAAAATCCATTTGGTGGCAACAGTGTTGCCAGATTGGAAATGTCAAAGTATCGTACCAGAACCTCAAAATTACCGTATTTGGAGGAAAATTATCGTACACGAGTCAAACTGATAGTATACAGCTATTATCTAGACACATAGCGTTTTGACACAACGTGCAAATGACCACAATACGTAAAAAAAAACTAGGTACCTTAGTGAGAAGGTTTAAACTCCACCTCTGAGTTGCTGTCATTGAATGTTGCATGTTGCCAGATGTTGAGGGATTTTTTTTCCCGTACAAATTGGATGCCGTAATGGACTGCAAAATAGTGCTGGTTGGCTTGAAAGCAGTGCACACTCTGAGGTGTGCATGCGTTGTTTTGATGAGACTAACTTTGGAAAAAAAACACGTTCACAAGACGCATTTGAATGGGGAAAAATGAGAACATCAAGGGAAAACTCCCGTCCTTCTTACCATCCTTTACAGCACAAATTGTTTTAACATTATTGCTTAAAAGATCGACCTCAAACTGAAAACTACTGACCTAACCACAGGCACGCGCAGCAAGAGCGTTAACTCGTGAGAGAGAGCCATTCTCCACGTTGATTGGCTGAGAAGAGGCAACGTAAGATGAGATTGAAAACGTGCCTAACTCCACCTACTCCTCACAGACAGTAAAGAAAAGATGCAACTAGATCAGTAAGTAAAGAAGCCCGAAGACTACAATGAAGTTACTTTTCAATTGCCATAAAATTCTGAAATTATCGTACATTATAGGATTTTTCTCATTATTGATGGTCGTACATCGTACAGAGGTCGAAATTATCATACAAATACGATAATTATCGTACATCTGGCAACACTGGGTGTTTTACGGTGGTCAACGCTCTGGTCGGTAACGTCCAGTGTTGCCAACTTAGCAAATTTTTTGTTTTTTTTTAGCAACTTTTCATACTACCCTAGCAACTTTTTTTTCAAACAGCACCTAGCAACAATTTTAGCTATTTTTAACATTAATTTGGCTACTTTTGGCAATTTAAAAAAAGTGACTCAAAAGAGCAGTGTTTGCAGGCTTCAGAGTAAATCGCTAGCTCAGATTGTGTTTCATAACTGTTCATTTACTGATATTTGTTAACATGTATAATTGTTGGTAATTTATTTAGCAATTAATTCCAGTAGTGCTATAATTGTTGTCACTTTTACAAATGTGTCAATTTCACAAGTTTAAAAGAGTAAATACACAAGCTGTGATTGTTTAAGAGAATGTACGTGTTCATTATCAGTGTTATATTTAAAAAAAATTTAAAATTCAAATCAAAAGGTGTTTGTATTACTTTTACAAATAGTTAACCCTGTTTTTCATACAAATCTAAATGGACATATTTCAAATAATGTTGCTGAGATGGCCAGTCAATTTGAGAAAACATTCATTATTTTGTATACTACATAAAGATGTAGTTTTGATTTGCGATTATACAATGACGTCATCACGCAAAGTAATATGTTAACAAGATCCTATTTATTCTGCATCTGGATGTAATGTTTTAATGTAATATGATACACAATAATGAAACAATATTTTATACGTTTGGTGATTGTTAGTACTGTGTTGATGGATGAGATGTCTGTCTGTTTTTATGTTCTGCAATGCAGGAAACTGCTGAAAAACAGCATTCATGCTGAGTCAGGCCCGATTATCTTTTAATCTTTTCCTGTTAAAAAAACTATAAATAAATAAATAAATAAATAAATAAATAAATAACACGGCGCCTCAGAGAGTAGAAACCTGACGGGCTTACGCTTGTCAGATACTACGTAATGGCGTCACTGATATCCAAATTAGTGCGTGACGTCATCTGGCAACATTTAGCTCTGTACGAGCAGGCTTTAGCTACTTTTTAATGGAAATAGTTGGCAACACTGGTGACGTCGCCAAACAATCATTGGGTTGACAAGAGAAGCTTGCTTGAAAGATGACTGAAAGAGAGGAGTTTTATATATATATATATATATATATATATATATATATATATACAGTTGAAGTCTTTTTTTTCTTCATTTTAAATTTTTTCCAAATGATGTTTAACAGAGCAAGGACATTTTCACAGTATGTCTGATAATATTTTTTCTTCTGGAGAAAGTCTTGCTTGTTTTATTTCGGCTAGAATAAAAGCAGTTTTTAATTTTTTATGAACCATTTTAGGGACAAAATTATTAGCCCCTTTAAGCTATATTTTTTCTCGATTATCTACAGAACAAACCACTGTTATACAATAACTTGCCTAATTCCCCTAACCTGCCTAGTTAACCTAATTAACCTAGTTAACCCTTTAAATGTCACTTTAAGCTGTATAGAAGTGTCTTGAAAAATATCTAGTCAAATAGTATTCACAGTCATCATGGTAAAGATAAAACAAATCAGTTATTAGAGATGAGTTATTAAAATTATTATGTTTAGAGATGTGTTGAAAAAAATCTCTCCGTTAAACAGAAATTGGGGAAAAAATAAACAAGCCGTCTAATAATTTATGGGGGCTAATAATTCTGACTTCAACTGTATATATATATATATATATATATATATATATATATATATATATATATATATATATACATACTGTTAAAGTCAGAATTATTAGCCCCCTTCAAATTTTCTTCCTCATTTTTAAATATTTCCTAAATGATGTTGAACATAGCAAGGAAATTTTCACAGTATGTCTGATAATATTTTTGTAATCGGCTAATCATTGCATCCCTATTAACGATATCAGTGCATTGTACAAAACAGACATATCCAGCCTGATCTCAGGAGAAAACGTAAATATTTTACGCTTTGTCAGTTTAGTGGCTAATTCAAACGAATTCGTACAAGTTCAGTCGTACAAAAATGTACGATTTTAAAAAGGAGGCGTGGCACCTAACCCCACCCCTAAACCCAACCGTCATTGGGGGATAAGCAACTCGTACTAAATTGTACGAATTAGATCGTACGAATTCATACGAATTAGCCACTAAATCAAAAAGTTACAAATTGCTGTGAGATTGTGTTGACATATTGAATAGCCCTGGTATATAGTGATGGTGTTGGAAAGTGAATTTATTTTTTGTTCTACTGTAAATGATATTTGAAGGATGTTGGATGACTTTTCATATGTAAAATCAATAAAAAATACCCTCCCCACCCCACGTTAGGGTGGAAACACAGCTAGTGTTAGGGTGTACTCATACTCACACTAGGCAAGATTGTCTTGAATCGGCACACGCTCAAGTTGCATTTTTCTGCCTTCCGAACCGGAGTATGCTTACGTCATCAATGATGCAACTGTTCAGTTTAACAGAAGAGAAGCGCTCTCGCACTGTACAATGGAGATTGCTTTTAATTATATTGCTGAACGAACTAGGAACTTGTAGTTCTGGGCATGGTTCAGATGTGTGGGTGTGGGCCCTATCATACACCCGGCGCAGTGTGGCGCAAGGCGTGGCGCAGTAGTCTTTTGGTAGTTTCAGCTTGGCGCAAAAGTGGTTTTGAGGCGTTGCGCTATGCTGTTTAAATAGCAAATGCATTAGCGCTCATTTGTGCACCCATAGGCGTTCTGGTCTAAAAAGGGAGGCGTTCTGAGGCGCACTGCTGGCGCGTTGCTATTTTGAGAAACTAAAATAGATTTTTCATTAGACCAAAACTAACCCGGTCTAAACTCCAGCGCAGAGTTGCGCCTCGCTTACGCACTGCTTAATACGCAAGAGAGAGCAATAGACAAATATCTTTACATATGAAAAAAAAAAAAATTAAGGATATATATAGGATATAATAAGAATATATATAGGATATAAATATAAAGGATTAAAATATTACAAAACATATTATTTTCTAGCCTACATAAATATGAAAAATCACTGCTTTTATGTCTTCTTCATCTCGGGAGGCTTTTTCAGGTTATTCAGAACAATTTACTTTTGTATAATGTTATTATTATTAGCAGTATTATTTATTATATCCATATTTATATTTGTTTTATTAAAAACAAGCTTAGATTTGCCCACCTGTCAGGTTTTAGACCATATGGGGCACAGCATGTGTTTTAGGATATAACTCAGGTTTTTGAGCACATTTTGTTATTATTATTCATTTATTTGTTTGCTGGAAATTAGAACTGAATTTAGAAATAGTTTTGAAATGAATATTTGCGCTTAACAAACAAAATTAATTATTTATAGACTAATTGATGTCTGTGCGTAAAGGTTTCCCTATCCAAGAGCGAATGTGAAAGTGATCCATTATCTCTCATTCTCACGCAGTAGATGCTCTGTTTAACAGTTTTCTGTTAAAAAACTGTGAACTGTTTGCTTGTGAAATGCTCATTTTTTCCACTTAGACTTACTTTGCGTCCTGTAAATAGCGAATGCGCTCTTGGTGCAACGCAGCTGGCTCTTAAAGGGAATGGGAGATGAGACTCTAATTGGTTTATTCTCAAAAAACACCTATAAATCATTAAGAAAATAAACTCAATCCTTTTAAAACATGCGCCACGGCGCAAAGCGGATTTTCCAGTCCGTAAATTAGCAAAAACGCGTCCTGACACCCCCTGAAAGCGTTTGCGCCCTGCGTTTTGCGCTCTGCACATGGACCGTCAAAATAGAGCCCTTAGAGTCTAACAAATAAAATCAGACACGAGCCGAAAGTCAGAGATCAAACCAGGGCCGAGGCCTTTATTTCCAATGATAGACACACAAGAGTCAAGGCAGTCACTTTTGCTTTCCAGCTTTCTTCGTGGCCCTCTGAGCAGGCGCAGGGTCATGGGATTATCATCATCATAATTAGCTATTCAGCTGCTGGCAGCTGTGGCGGATGGGGCAGGGGGAGCGGGAGCTGGGGCTGGATTGGGTGCAGGATTGGGATTGGGGTTTGGGTTTGGATTGGGGTTTGGATTGGGATTGGGGTTTGGGTTGGGTTTGGGAGCTGGGTCGGGGGTGGGAACGGTGAAACAGCCCCGTTTGTGCCACTGCATATCCCGCACACGCCGGACGGACTGCAGCTGTGGTTCTGTGGCTCCCCAGTCGTTCCAGTGTTTGTAGTCGCCATGTTCAAACACAAACTGCCGGCCGCGGTAGCCAGGGTACATGTAGCCCACCCATCTGAGGAATAAAAGAGAGACTGGAGTGAGACTCTGGGTTTATAAACTTGCTCTGTCCCATTGATCAGACTTCAGCCGTGTTGAGGAACTTCAGACTTGTTGAGGAACAAACACTTTTTATGCACACATAGACCTATTCATTTTTATAAACAACACACACAGTTAACATTTAATTTCCATACAATATAGTTATACATACAATAGTACATATATAATAATATACTGTACATACATTTCACGAGTTCACACTCACAGATATTTGACTGAATAGAAAATGCATATTTGGCGTGCTGTCCGGGGAGAGGGCTCTGAGCTCGGGAAGACACCCTAACTCGTTTTATTCCCCTTATCAGGATGAAGAGATAGGGTCCGAGCGCAGTGTCTAGCCCGGCTCCAGAACGCTCCCCCCTCAGATTTAAATAGGTATCTGGTTTGATAGTGTGGAGTTGGGGTGGTGGAGGGATGCTGAAGTCGAGAGAATTGGAGGTATGACGTGTTTGACTATTTATAGGGGTTTGCTCTTGAGCTGATTGGATAATAGAATGATTGTGTGTGTGATGAATTAGCCTGGTCAAAGACTGATCATGCTCATCCAGAAATTTGTTCATAAAACAAATCCATGAATTTGCATCGATGAATTGGCTCTTCAGTGTTTGAACTCTTAGTAATGATTAAATCACACTGAACTGAGCTAAACTGAACTGAACTGAACTTAAACACTAAAAACTGAACCACACTGTTCCAGTTACTATGACCATTCATGTGAAGCTGCTTTGACACGATCTACATTGTAAAAGCGCTATACAAATAAAGCTGAATTGAATTGAATAAAACATCACTTATCAAAATTGCATCTTCTTTTTTTATTATTATTATTTTGATCCTTTGTTATTTTGTACTGTGTGTTTTTGTTGCACTGTGGAAACTTCTGTCACGAAAACAAATTCCTTGTATGAGTAAAATAAAGCTCATTCTGATTCTGATTCAGTGCAACGTCTGAAAATGACCACTGTATACTTAAAAATCCTGTGTTGTGTATTGTGTTTGTGTTTGCTGGGTCAAATATGGACAAACCCATCATTTAACCCTTCTGTGGACTTATGGGTGAAAAATGACCCGTGACCATTTTAGCATTAAAAATTTTTTATTATGTTTTAATCTTGGCGCCGCGGTGGCGCAGTGGGAATTGCTGTCGCCTCTGCTGGGTCAGTTGGCATTTCTATGTGGAGTTGGATTTTCCTCCGGGTGCTCCAGTTTCCCCCACAGTCCAAGCACATGCGCTATAGGTGAATTGGATAAGCTAAATTGTCCATAGTGTATGTGTGAATGAGAGTTTATGGGTGTTTACCACTGATAGGTTGCAGCTGCAAGGGCATCCGCCATGTAAAACATTTACTGGATAAGTTGGCGGTTCATTCCACTGTGGTGACCCCTTATTAATAAAGGGACTAAGCCAAAAAATGAATAAATGAATGCTTTTATCTTGAAGTTTGATCAATCTATCTATTTCTAACTATCTTTCTATCACTTTTTCTCCATAGAGTGGACTTCTATGGTGAAAAATTCAGTGTTTCACCATAGGAATCATAAAAAATTAAGAAGCCAAAAACAAATAAATTCTTCTGAAGAAAGCATGCGGTATTTTTCTTCATTTAGTGAAAAATGCAGAGATCCCAAAGTGCTTTCTGTGATCAGATACTGGCATAAAGTCCACATTGGGTGCATCACCATCTAGACCTCATGTCTGGGATTAATACGCCACCATAAAACACAGAAAGACTTGATTTCCTCAATCCATTTGGGGTAAAATATATCATGCCAATGCATATTTGGTACATCACCATATAAACATCAAAACTAGGATTTAATCCCCTCCAAAATAACAACCAAAAGATTTGATTTCCCACATCTTTGTTAATCGAGTACCATTCGAGATGCCAATGCATGATGGTTACACCCTCCTCTAGTCCTCATATCTGGGATTTAAAGCCATGAAACCCATAAAAAGACTTCATTTCCTCAACTCTAATCATTCAGGGTAAAATCTATGCCATCAAAGATGCCAAGACACATTGGGTTCATCACCATATAGACCTCATAACTGGGATTTACACCCAAAAAACAACAACTAAAACATTTGATTTCCCACATCTTTGTCAATCGAGTACCATTCAAGATGCCAATACACGTAGGGAACATCCTCTTCTAGACCTCATATCTGGGATTTAAAGCCATGAAACCCATAGATAGACTTCATTTCCTCAACTCTAATCATTCAGGGTAAAATCTATTCCGTCATAGATGCCAATACACATTGGGTTCATCACCATATGGACCTAATAACTGGGATTTAAACCCCCAAAAACACCTAAACCCACCTCAGCAAGTATTTTTCGTTTTTAAAAGATAGCTAATAGATGTCTGAGGGCGTACTCACACTATGCTATCTGAACAGTGCCCAGGCTTTCCCGGATTCTTTGAGTGCTCTGAAACGGGCTTAGGAATGGTTCAGTTGGCCGGCCCTGGCCCGGTTGGAAGAAGTGTGCCAGAGCGCGGTTCACTTGGGCTTCGGCGCGGTACGCTTGTCCAAACTGAAAATGAGGCATAACTTTTAAGAGACTGTTTTGTATGATTTATTAATCATTCCTAAAGACGCAAACCCCTCACTGCATGACAGCTGCACCTTCAGCAAACCTCCTAATTCCTGCAGCACGAGGACTTTATGATTGTTTATGAGCGTCAAAAGTGGCGAATCTGTTCGGCAAAATATTTGACTGTGTGTCACTGCATCCCAAACGGCTAAAACGATATATCTAAAGCAATGTCTACTGTGTTGAATAAGAGCGCTTCTTACTGAACAGCACATCATCGTTGACATTAGCTCAGGTGCGAATGTAATGTGAGTGCGGGCTGTCGAGGGAGATGGGAGGGGGGACAGGCGTCCTTCAGTCCAGTTCAAGGCAACTGTACATAGTGTGAGTACGCCCTAATAAATGTCTAAACATAAGCCCCTTTCACACAGGGATACCGGTAAATATCTGGAAAATTTCCGGAACGACTTTACCGGTAAATCCAAAAAAGCGATGTTCACACAGGCGAGGACGTTACGGATTTTTTCCGGAAAAGAGCATTCACACATCCATCGCAAAATGCCGGTAAATTCTGACATCATTAACCAGAAATGAGCTCTAAACGGCTGCGCTTGTGTTGGTAAACATTTGACTACATCACAAACTCTTTGGATGGATCAGTATTGAGTACAACTCCAATGAAAACATATAGAGGAACACTTTCGCATGTCGAGATGTTTATGATATGTGTGTGTGCTGGCGCTATAGGCACTCACGGGCACACGCAAAGCTTGAAGGTAAACAAACAACGGATTATCATAAACATTTTATCGATACTTATTTACACAGTTAGCATTAAGAAGGAACATAGAAACGTTATCTGACTAACATCTAGCAGCTAAATATGTCTGGAAAAATATTCAAAGGCTTTTATTCTCATAAACCGCGCACGTGAATGCGTCTGACTGTTCTGATTGGCTAAAGCAGACGTCTCACGTCAGCACGTTCTAGACATGCACGCGCTCTTTCCGGCAGTCTTCCTTCTGCATTCACACAGCGCAGCATTCTGGCAAATTACCGGTAATGTTACAACTTCTCTTTCCATAAATAGCCAGAACGAATTTACCGGTATTTTCAAAAAGGGCCTGTTCACACATACAACCTTTCCGGAAAATTGCCGGTAACTTTCCGGAAAGGTCTGTATGTGTGAAAGGGGCTATAGTTGTCTTGGCTAAAACAAGGCTAAACTAGGGCTGTCAGTGAAAATATAATAGACATTAAAGAATAGACCCAAACCAGACTAGTCATCAAATAAACAGTCTGTATTTACATATAAAGTCACATATAAAGTCTGTGCAATCTGTCTGTTTGCTTTGGGCTATTCTTAGATATCTATTAGGCCCTGTTTACACTGCCAGTTAAATGTTACGCAATTCTGATCTGTTGTAAGACTGTGTAAACATGAAAAAAGCGCATACATTCGGATATTCAGAGATCTGTTTCCGGCCACCTTCATATGTGGAAATAAATCAGATGTAAATCGGATATTTGACGATGCGACTATCATGTAAACAGGCATATCTATCTATTGAGACGTTCTGTTTTGTACGTCATTAAACTTGCGACAATGTGGTACTTACTCCATGGTTTAACGACGTAGAAAGAAGAGCGTGTGTGGAGACGCCGACACGGTAAACAACAACAACAAAGGAAACTTGGAGGAGGAAAGAGATCAGTCGCCACAATTTGCTCCCACCAGACCTGAGATCTCTCTACTACCCACAAATTCCTCTGAAAGGTGGAGGAACCATAGGTGCAAGCTGCGATGACGGGCCATTCCCACTTACGCCTCAAAATCATTCTAAAGTTGAACTTTGCATATTTCGAAGAGCTAAACGCAAGACAATTTCTTCCATCATGGCTAGTGTGGCGCAGATGCTAGAACCCGCCTTTACGCATGCGTGACATCGTGAATTGTATAGCAAGGGTAAACACATGAATTGGATATGGGTCACAATTAGAAGGACATGTTCACGGACAGGCAAAAGAAAAAATTTAGATATAGGAAAGAAATCAGAATAGGGCATTAAGACCTGACAGTGTAAACAAGGCCTTAGATTTTCACTGACAGCCTTGTGTTAGCCAAGCTGTTTACGTTTAGATGTTTGCTGGGAACTCTCATGGAAAACCCAAAATTTAAAATATAGCAAATTTGAAATGTCAAGACCACATCAAGTATGATTTTTGAAGGAATGAAGCAAATTGAATTGCAGGGACTTGAGGTGTGTCCCTGTAAACCACCATATTTATTGACAAAAGATTGAGATTGGATCAAAACAGACTTACAATTATTAATAAGGCTCATCAAAAATGGTTTGTATTGTGGAAACTCAGCTCATTTAATGACGAGAGGGTTATTCTCAAGACCTTTTATAATTCATTTATTGAAAGCATTTTGTCTTTTTCCTTTCATTTGCTGGTTTTCCTCACTGTCCATAAAAAATAAGAATCATCTTCAAGGCATTGTTCATTTGTGCTCAAACGTTTTAGGAGTTCCCCTGCAAAGTTTAGCATTTTATCATGAACAAGTTGAAGATGGCATATACATCAATAGGAAACAGCACACGCCCCTAAATAAATACTTTGCGTAGATGCCCCTTGGGTGACGTCTAAGGACAATAAGATGTTCCACTAATCTTTATAAATTTACTTTTGTCCCTTAAGCATTTCAGGTACGTATTAAATGCAGTTAATCATTTTCTTTTCAGCTTAGTCCCTTTATTAATCTGGGGTCGCCACAGCAGAATGAACCGGAATGAAACTATGCAGCATATGTTTTACGCAGCGGATGCCCTTCCTGCTGCAACCCATCGCTGGGAAACACTTATACACACTCATACACTACGGACAATTTAGCATACCCAATTCACCTCTCTGCATGTTTTTTGACTTGTGGGGAAACCAGAGCACTTGGAGGAAACCCACGCCAACATGGTGGAGAACATGCAAACTCCACACAGAAGCGCCAGCTGACTCAGCCGGGGCTAGAACCAGCCTTCTTGCTGTGAGGCAATTGTGCTACCCACAGCACCACCGTGCTGGCAATTATTATGATTATATATACATTTTTATTATTATTCCATTTGTATTATTATTTCTTTCCTTTTTTCTCTTTCTTCGGTTTTCTGTTTGTGTTCTTGATGTTAAGTGTTGGTGTTTATTGTGTTAAGTGTGTCAATCTTGTTTTATATATATGTATATATATATATATATATATATATATATATATATATATATATATATATATATATATATATATATATATATATATATATAT